ATCAGGAACATCAATCTTTTTTTTTATTATTTATATGATATTTTCAACTGTATAAAAAAATATACATCTAGTAAATCCGTACATGGATATAATGACATGAAACACAAGTTGAGAAACTACCCATTGGTAGCACTCTAATAATATGTCTATATTAGGAGATCACGGGGCCATCTTCTTTTCAGACGCCTCGGAGGGTTATCAGGGTTGAAAAATTTGGAAGAGATGTTGACCGATTAATTGGGCTTTTTCTTCGTCGGATTTGGACCAGGTTTAGGATTCAGTAAGAAGTGGGTGATTAAAGTCTTTAAACTTCAGAAGTTTTAGGTTTTTTTTTTTTTTTTGGTTGTCATTCATAGTGATTTGTCAGTTGTTGTAATATTTTTAGATAGGTTAAGTAATTGTTGAGTTTTTTATTTTCTGATTTCTGATTTTAGTTCATTAGTCAATTCGGTATAGTACGTTTTGTCTGAAGGATATCTAGTCCTGTGCCACTTCGATCTTGCTCTGCGTTTATCCCTTAATAAGATTCGAATATGCTGAAATCCAAATTGGTGAACATCAAACTTAATTTTTTTTCTAATAGAAAGAATAAAACGAGGCAACAATTACCAATATTAAAAATGATTCAATTGAGTACTGTGAGATATTCGTTGCCGTTAAATTTGGTACTTGGACTTTCGATTATTATTTACGTAATAAAAACTTAAAGATTTACGTATTAAAATCTTTAACTACCGTTAGAGATGACGCCACCTACACATCTCTTCTCTCTCCCCCTCCCTTGCAACTTTTATTCTCCCTGCAACACTTAAGGAGACAGGTAGTACTTCTTTTATTTATTTCTTATTTCAGCTTTCTCAATTTCTTCCCTCCTTCCTTTCCTCTGTTTTTAACTCTTTATTATATTATACATTGTCTGTACATCTTGATAGACTTTACAATATCTCAATTTTCTATCTAACTACTCCATTCTCAATGTTTTAATTTTACTATTTATTTTATTTTCATTTCTTATATAACTTCATATTTCTTTTTTATGTTTTACATTTTATTCTAAGATTCCCATTGTAACACTTATGTCACCCTTTTTGATTATGCCTACTTCATCATTCCACACTTTGTAACGGTTATTATTATTTATCGCTTAGTTCTTAGTCATTATTCTAACAATTTCATTTTACTTTATATTTATTTATTTATTTTATTTTTTTTTTTATTATTTTATTTTTTTTTTACCATCTCTACTTATGTTTCTCATACCTTGTTATCTGGTTATTTTCTTAGCCCTGATGAAGGCCTGAACTTCAGGTCGAAACGTCGGCATATGTAAAAATAAATATTATCATTTATTTTTGCCTTCCTTTTTGACTGACCACCCCAACTATTCTTCTCTTCGTTATCCACGACAGTCAACCAATTACCAATTATCAAAACTTAAAAATATATTTCCGTTTTTACTACCATCCTGTCATCTACGAATAAAAATATGCATTTTAAAATTTATTGTATTAGCTTTTATATATGTATATTTATAAAGTAACGCTGGGAGAGGTATAAAGGAAGTCCTAAATGTCATACCACTGTGATCTCAGGCCACAACCCAGTCGCTACCACACCTCTCTTACAAACTGCTATTTCTTTTTTTCCTAAATTTGAACCTTTTTTTCCCTATCGTTTAATAACTGCAATTTCAATCTTAAATAAGTCCCTTATCGCTTGAATTCTATTGTAGCTCAAAGTTACGGGATTTTTTTTTCACACAAGTACCTAATTTTCAGTAAATTGCGTCTTAGTTTTAATAAGGCTGCAAATATGTTGTAGGAGTTCAAACAGGGTTAATGTTACTAAAACAATTTAATACTCTTTCTTTCCTCCACAAGATGGACTAGTAATCAGCCGATAGATTGTGTTTTTAATGTCGGTTCCATAACGAATAAGTAATTTTCGTTTGTTACCTACAGGCTATTGTGGTTCTCGTGATGATCAGTTGTTCACCCATACAACAGATACAAATCTGTTACCAAAGTCTCTCTTTGATCTAAAATTGTATGCTGTTCGTGTTTGCTCATTTAGTTATGGAATTGAACATAAATATAAAATCAAATCTTTGTGTACACAAAAATAATTATTTCAACTTTCATAATGGTTAAAGTTAAAAAAATATTAATCGAAATTCCATTAATACAATTCAATATTGATTTAATCAGGTTTTTTTTTTTCATCTTATAAGATAAGGGGACATAATTATTTTTACTATTTTTTACTTTCACTTACGTATATATGTAATATATAGTAAGGATAAGTATTGCGATCGTGAAAATTTTCGAATCTTAGTTTTCAACGGAAATAAATGTTTTGAGGTCCTCTGAGTTCAAATAACCAAGTGTCGCAAAATGGTCTGTGTGTGTGTGTGTTTGTGTGTGTGTGTGTGTGTGGGTGTGTGTGTGTATGTGTGTGTGTGTGTGTGTCTGTTAACATTCTAGCTCATAAACGAAAAGTAGTACGAAACTGATATTAAGTATTTAAGATTTGTATATGGGCCGGATGTGACAGCAACTATTTCGATAAAATCGGCTAACCGGAAGTGCCACTTTATATGAACGTTGAAACACATTTTTTCAATTTTCTGAAAAACGATTTTGATCAAACTCGGTGTATCAATGTATAATGAAGTAATCTTTAATACCAATTAGGTCTTATCCTCATTGATGTCACTATACAGGGCTTAAATGCCCAATGTTCATATACGTCTTCCTCTAAAGTACCTTTAATATGGTTTATATTAAAAAGTTAATCATTTCACATTATTCAAAAAAATGCCAAATATAACTTTTGAAAGAATTTGATAAGTTAATAAAGGAGAAAAAAATAAAAATTCAGAAAAACCTGCGTTGCTATAGACTGCAGCGCCTAAACGAATGTACCGAGTTCAATTAAAATTCGCTAAAGTCATTTTCTCGACACCCTTTAAATTTATCTATATAACATAATTCAACGAAAAGAAGCTGGAAAAAAAGTTACGAGGGATGGTAAAATTAAATTCCGAATAACCCAAAAAGTATACAATTTTTTGTGGATATTGTATACGGTTTTTTAAAAGTTTACGGAATTTCCTAAAAAACAATTCTTTAAAATCGGACAATTAGGAGGAAAGATATGGTCTCTATTTTTTCCCTGAGGAGGCGAAAATTTGGATAAATTTAAAATATTCTTTTTTAATGTTGAGACTACAAAAACCTTTTTTCTACAGATATTTAATAAAGTATCTTTCCTAAGAACATCTTACATAAGAAATAAGTACCTAAATTTATACCTTTATTCTCAGTTCTATATTTCAACACTGCAATCACCACCCCCGGAATCAACTTACTCATATTCTGCATAGATAACTTTTTCAACTAAAAATATCACTAAAATGACATCACTAAAAATGTTGAAATTGGAGTTAGTCATTCTGAGATTTATAAATGCAAAGGTAATTATGTGGTTTATAAAAGCAGATGGAGTGACTAGATTTTTATTGGGTGTCGTCGATATATTAAATAGACATTTTGTAATTATAATGGTCTTAATGACTTGTTATCTGTATGCTTTAAGCTTTAGCTCCGTTTAAAATACACTTAATTTTATTAATTTTATTTAAAATACAAAATTTTATAATAGCCCAGTATTGCCAAAAAATAATTTCTATTCATAGTAGATCGGTAAGTGAAAGTTGTGTGTTGCGCGCACCAACTTTTTATACCTATCTATAGCAAATGAGACATTTTTATTACTAAGATGCCTGGTAGCAATTAAAAATTAAAACAAAATGTTAAAAAAAAAAAAAGCAAAGCTGAATAAAATATTCATATTTAAGTTACCATTTTTCAAATGATCGATTAAGCCATCGAATGGACCCAGGTATAAATGGACCCAGACTCGCATGCTTCAATAAATAAAATCAGCTGGAACAAAGATGATACGGTTAATAAAATATAAAAATAAATTAAAATAATTTTTAATTATAAATTTAAATAATTTTAGGATATAATTTAAACATCCCAACACTTAATTAACAACACCCAAGTACTTAAGTACTAAAGTATCCCAACACTTAACTACTTAATTTCTAGAAGTATCGTATATAAGCATATAGATATAGTTAAAGTTGCTATTATTTAAATTATATTCGAATATATTACAATACATAATAATACATAGAATCAATGTTAATCTTTTGAAAGTTCCCTTTGTATTTTTCATTCTTCGTCAATTCGTTTGTCATCATGATTTAATTCCATTGGATTATTAATTGATATTTATATTTATTTAATTTAAAATAAATTATTAAGCGTATTGATCTTTGTTCATTCAGTTAGATTTTAAAACCTTGATGGTTTCAGCTATTTTACCTTGTAGATAATTGACCACCTGAAACAGATTTCTTCATCTTTGGCTCCCTTGCCTCTCTTCTGCTTTTCACTCACCTGC